TAATCTGAGCACAACACTGCACATGACTATAAAAATAAATTGTACTTGTGTATTTTTTAGATTTTTTGGTAACAGAATTAACTACTTACATTTAATCTTGTTTTAAATTTTCAATCCTTCGATATAAAAGTTGAACATTTTGAAAATTGTTAACTACAAAACAATTATTCAATTTTAAATTTGATAAATTTTGTCGAAATTTGATCTTTAAATGCTTATAAAAAAAATTGTCCCTATGTATTTTTAATATTTTTCAACTGTTATTGTAACAATATATCAGGAGCCTTGTGTTAAATTTTTAAACTTTTTGGCCTAACAGCTAAAATTCAAAAAATTGAAAACTGACAACAAAGCAGCTCAAAAAGCCTCAAAATATTTTGAAAATTTTATCTAGTATAAGAATTGATAAAATAAACATTCACTGAAACTTGCATGTATCTAGAGTCATTCGTTTTTGAATTATATCAAAATAAGAAAATCGTTACATGGGAAATCGAGTGAATAATAAATTTTGTAAAAATATGAAATTATAATGCTCATAAAAATTTAATTTCACTTTCCGGTACACAAAATAGTCCTATAACCGTGTAAATATATATGTAAAAATATAAGTATATTCGATTGATTCTGCCTCGGATCAAATTCATCTTCAGCTGTATACAATATTAGTTCCGATGGCTGAACATTGGAGAGGCCTCGTCTCATCTTAAAGACGAACGAGTCTGATAAAGATGAAATAACTGCAGTGGGCAAATTCCCTGCTTAAGACTATGCGACAATATCAACAAGCAAAAAATAAGATTTCCGCACACATACAACATATAGAATCATTATAAATTATAGGTAAACAATTACGATGAAAACATGTTTGCCACTATTTAAGACTTTCAGTCGAATTAACTGTTATTGGATACTATTGACTGACAACAAAGGCCCTTTTAAACTCTTGCTGAAATCGTATTTTCGCAATATAAGACTATATGAGTGGTGAAAATCGTCTAAATGGTTTGGCAATTGGCAGTTATGAACATATATAATATATATTATGTACATCGTGTGACATGATAATTGTGTCAATAGCCAATAGGTTAACAAAACAGTGTCCATAAATATACCTACTGTGGACTGTGTTTATATTATAATAGGTGGTACCACAGAATAAAGTACCTACCTATATGGCTATATTTGAAATTAAATATTGAATGTCGTCGTGCAGGATTGATGTAGAAATACGATCTTACTATCTGATATCTGTACTTTGTTCTATTTCAATATGATTTAGTTTTCAAATATAAATATTTTTATCTATTGACCACAATATTATTAAGTTAGAAAATATATTTTATTTTGACCATTATATTATTCAATATTCATTATACTTATATAACACCTCGTCCTCCCCTCACACACCCATGGAGAGTCCTGGCTACGTGCCTAGCGATAACTGTATAATACAGTCAGTGCCGCAATTAGAATTCTTGGGGCATCGGACACATTCAATGTATGGGGCCCTGAGGTATATGTATAATATAATATATTTTATAGGTTAGGTACCTATACAAAAATAAATAATGATGGGGATTTTCTTTTTAAAAAAACAAAATTTTTATGTGAAGACCCACTACCCGGTGACCAGTGTATTGTCATTAAAATAAAACTACTCTTTAAGTGTTCTTTTTTTTATTATAAATAATAATTAAAACTTTTGTAAAAATATATAGTTCTAAAATAAGTATTGTATAGCATAAAGATTATGTGTACCTACCTATATTATATTTAAACATATAATTAGGTATATAGAAAAAATCTTTACCATATTTAAAATTATAAAAAACGAATCACAAACAGATACAAATAGGTAATAATAATTAATAAGATATCAATTGATCATACATAAAGGTACTCATAGGCTTGCGCAGACTTTTGGTTGCTAAAAATTAGGGCCCACAATAATTTTGAAAACATTTATAGATACAGACAAATGTTTTAAAGATATCAAAGGCACTAAAAATATTTATTTTATTTTATTATTTATTCTAATAAATATTACATAACAATATATAAATATACAATTTTATCATGATAATCGATGTTTAAAAGGAACAATATTTTTGAATTCGTCAATAATTTCATTAATTTAACTTACACTTAATTAATAATTAGGGCTCTTGTCGTTTTTGGTGAAGGGCCCGGGGGTGCCCAGGCACCCTCGGCACCCCCTGTGCGCACGCATATGAGGTACTTTATATTAACAATAAACATTTTAATTAAACAAATTAGATAATATAATATGGTATACCTATTGGCTATTACCTATACTACCTACATGCCTATATAGAAAAAATATAATTACAAACAATATGAAATACAATAATATAACTTATTTCAAGTCATTGACAACGTGTCATAAATCAGAATGCTATAAATATCATAATATGTGCTATAGAAATAGAATTATTATACAAATTAAGAACGGAAATTCATTTTTCTTGCATTTAAATTATCAAAGTAATTTAAAACATTTCCCAAATTTAATTCAGAATTCAGATGTATGCTGTTGTTCAACATTAAGTATAGTTATGTACTATATTGTACTATAGAATTCTTAAAAAATTCTTAGTAAGTTTTAATTTGGAAAATTATGTCTCTGCAGGGACAACATTAGGTGGTAATACTAAACACATCACTCGACTTGTTATGTAAAACAATCATGGGTGGGTGTTAGAATTATTTTTGCACCATAATTTTTAAATTGTTGATTTACATAGGTTTAAAAAATAATTTTAATTTGTTATACTTAAGCTCGGTAAGCTTTAAGCGTTGTACGGGGGCGTAAAACACTGAAAATCGTGAACTTCGTAAAGCTATACCATAAAAACTAATAATTTCCGGCAGTTAATTTTTGCATTATATACATCTTAACTGGTTGTAACACATGGGTTACCGAAAAAAAAAATTGAAAAATTTGCGTGAGCGCTTAAATAGATTATAACACTAAATTTAAAATATATTTTAGAGGTTTTAAGAAATTGTCTTCAAATTATCACATTTAATTATTTTATATATACTCTGTTCCAAAAGAGAACGGTCACTTTTCGCGTAAACAACTGACGGCTGCGGCAGTGCAAAGGCCAAAATTCCCCTCCCTTTTTCTAGCCGGCAATCGTCAACATCTTCGAGAAACGTCTGCTAGCAAGGTGGTGGATGTTGGGCCTTTGCACTGCCATAGCCGTAAGTTGTATGTTCGAAAAGTGACCGTTCTCTTTTGGAACAGAGTATAGTGATATTATTGGTAGGTACAGTTTCTATTTTATAATAGATCAATAGCCAATAAGTTACCTAAATCACATTTTTTTAATTTAAATCCCGGTAGTCGAGTTTTGGGCAAGTACCTACAAAGGAAACTTATAATAATTCATATTGTAATGTAATTTAATAGAATGTCTATAAGCTTAAGGACCAGTTTTGTATAGTTAAATTTTTCATGCGAACTATAAATGAAATAGAACACCAGAATAAGTACATTGCTGATCACAAAGATTTCTGTAAACGTACGTACACGATTATAAAGATATAAGTTCTTTATAATCGTGCGTACGTACGATTTATCAATAGACCGTTTAGGTACTGAGTAAAATATATAAGTTCTATGGATTTATCATAGTAAATAATATATTTTATAATAATATCTATGGCAATCGTCAACAAAAAAATAATAAGCCATCAATATAGACGGCCAGTTTGTTAGCACAAATTCACACATTTCGTTATCATTGGGTTATTTTCATTAAATATTTTGATACTTTCAAGTTTCAGTTCCGAGCAAGATGATGATGGATGAAGATAGCCGTTTCTTCGGCGACGGGGCCACTCTAGCTAGATTTCACCGGAAGATTCGATGTTTACGCGTAAGTTTGTTTTCATATTATTACTATTTTAGTATTTTAGTATTTTACATTTACTTTAAGACTTAAATTAAATATTTATTGCCACGGACAATCTGTAAACTGGGTGACGTAGAAACATTTACAAGTTTAATCCTAAAAAGCCCAATGTATAAAATACGCGAGACCGAACAGTCCAAAGGCCGTCTTCGTTTCACCACGCCAAATTTAATACGAACCTTTTTGCATATACTATACGCCGGATATCACCTTAGGTTTGCGCGAAGTATTTAAAACAATATACTTAATATAAAATATTATTAATCTTTATATTTTATATACCTACCTACATTAGCCACCTCATATATTTTATTAGTTTACTTAAGTACAATTAACTTAAGAAAAACAATATGATTACATAGATATAGGGTATAATATATAATATTATAATGTATGGAGAACGAAGGTTTATTTCGACTACTTATCGTGTACACATCAAACACAACAAGAAAATTATAAAAAAAATTAAGAAATTAAATACACACATCATGGTAAAATCAAAACTATATAGGTACCCGATACAATTAAAATTAACATAATATTAAATAATAATTAATAATTTTGTGATCGGCAGTATATACGTACAAAATGTTAGACTTGGAATTTTACAAATCTAGTTGGTTTATAATAGTAGGTACTGTATATCCAGTGCCGCATTTAGACATTTTGTGCTGCGGTGCAAAAAAAATTTGGCGCCCCCGTATGAGGCCTAACTCCATATATGGGAAATATGGAGGATAAATTCTCATGAACCTTTTAGATTTTGAGCAAAGAAAAGAATATTGTTTTACAATAATGTGTTTTTTTAAAAATATTGTTTAATATTTTCATGAACACTCCCCCCCCCCCGCCCCCCATAGATACAATTGAGTGTATTCCACTTGAGTCCTGCTTATAATTTACATCATATGTTTTTTTTTTTTACATATTTAGGTATTTACTTCATGGATCATATTAATATAAACTATGTGCAAACTTATGGTTTATTTTTTTAAAAATAAGTACAAATATTAATAAGAACAATATAAAAATATAATAAAATATTTGTTTAGGTACCTAAATTTTTCTTCTACTTTGTAGTGTAGCAAATTCATTGATAATATCATCAAATTCAGTTTTAGGTGTTACATCAGATTCTATATTCATAATAGCTAAATCACTGAGTCTCTCTGCTGAGATACAAGACCTCAGATATGTTTTGACACGTTTTAAACATGAGAATGACCGTTCGGTCGAGCAATTACTTACAGGACATAATAGCATTCTGAGAGATACATCTTTATAAGGGTACATTCCTATTAAATCATTTTTTCTCAAAAAACCACACATATCCTGGATAGTCTTAGGAGCCTCGTCACCGATACTTAATAAGTGGCTCCTAAAATGAACACATTCATTAGCAAATAAAGTACTGAGATCATCTTTATATTCATTTTGTAGTATTTCAGCATTCTTTCGGACTTTAAATTGATGTCATCTCTGTTAATTTGAAAAAGAAGTTGTAATTTTTAAGTAGATTTTCATATTTTTCATTTTTTTTTTCTAGTTGTGACCGCAGTTGATCAAGTATAACAAAATAAGTTTTCACTTTAAAATCAGAGTATTCAACTGTTGTTTCTTTAGATGGCCCTTCATCAAAAAATTGTTTTCTTATTTTTAATCGTTTGGTACAGGATTGAAACTGCTTAATTTTACTTTTTTCAATTGCACATTGTTTAAAATACTCATAGTTTTTATCAGAGCGTAAATCAATGATATATGTTATTAATGATTTATACAATTCACACACTACACCCAAATCGATATTGATACCTTGTAATTTCTTGCTCGTTAAGTTGAATCGGTGTAATATTTGACCCCAGAATATAGATAGGAATGCAGTTTCTAAATTATTTAACTTGTTGAGAATTCCACTAGCTTCATTTCGAGTAAGTGTTTTCTCAGTATCATCATTATTCATTAAATTTAATGCATTAATAATTAAAGACCAGTTTTTGTTCTGAGATTGGCAAGCGTCATCTCTAGCAGACCATCTTGTTTCTGAAAGTCCCTTAACAGAAGCGTTTAGAACTTTCCAGCGGTGAGTAGAAGCTGTGAAAAACGTGTAAACATTTTGAAGTAAATTGAAGAATAAAACGGCTTGAGTACAACAATCAACTGCATTAGTTCCAACCAGGTTAAGGGAATGCGCAGAGCATGGTACAAATTTTGCTAAGGGATTGGCTTCTTTTATTTTTGCTTGCAGTCCGGCGTAACTTCCAGACATATTGCTGGCGTTATCATAAGATTGGCCTCGAAGATAATCAATATTTAAGTCATATTTTTTTAATACACTAAATACAGCATTTGTCATGTCATCCGCTTTATGTCCTATTTGATCTAAAAAACATAAAAATCTTTCTACTGGTTCCCCTTTATTGTTGACATATCGAACACAAAATGAAAGCTGGTCGATATGAGATATGTCTGGTGTAGAGTCAACACTGATCAAGAAGTACCGAGAAGCTTTAACTTCTTGAATAATTGTATTCAATACTTGTTTAGACATTATATTGATAAATTGCGTGGTAATCACAAATTTCAGACATTCCGTGGTTCGAGTTTGTTGACTAATAATTGTACTTCTGTAATAATTGGTTGCGGGCAACAAAGTACGCCGTAGCCCGTATTATATAAATAACTTATATCTATTGGATAACAACAAATTTGAGAACTATTTTTAAGTATATTAATAATTCTCGAACGCTGATAGCTATATTTCTATAAATACATTAGTTGTTTTAATTTCAAACAGCATAATACATTAATATTATATTATAATACTTACTGTTGTCTGTTATTAAAATAATTTACATTTTAAAAGTTCATTTTTCATTTTATTATTATTAATTTTTTTATTTCCGACCACAAAATTTCGGCGCCCCCAAAATACTGGCGCCCCGGGCAGTTGTAGGGAGTGCCCCCCCCCTAAATGCGGCACTGTGTATATCTTTATGTTAACTCTAAAATCCAGTAATCACATTTTCATTTAATGATTCATAAAATATTTACAATATTCTTTTATAAAAATATACTTGTACTTCTGATATCTATATTCACCATCTTAATCAATAATTAAAAAAATAAACAAAAATAATAATTTAAATAATATATCATATTATTATATTTGAAATTCAAAATTATAAGCATAGATAAGTATATATTATAATAGTATGATTATAAGCTATTTTGATTATCCTTCCTTTCCTTCCTATACTATAAAATGACAGGGAAATCAGCTGTCTATAGTGTACCAATGGAAAGGAAAACGCAGGCTATAGTGAAACCGTGGCGTAAAAAATGAAACACCGCTCCGTTTCCCCAGCCCGCCGGCCATGTACCGTCGATTCCTTATAGCGCGACCAATCGCGTACCTTCGCAGTGGCGGCGGTCGGTTTTAAAACGTTTTTTGTTATCTCCTGTTTTCCTATCATTTCACCGATTTTTGAAATTTTCGGAAAATTAGCTATTTTACACGATTTCGACTCTTTTCGCCCTTTTTTATACTTAATTCGAAGCCGCCGGTGTGCGTTTTATATTCGTGCGCCGTCCGAAGCGGTCGCAATGTCGATCGAAAAATACACTTCCGACCGGACTTTTTTGACGATTTTTTCCTTTTCTCCCACCGTTTCGTCTATTCGCAAGCCGTTTGTGCCCGAATCGTGTAGTCGACGTCTTTTTAAAGCCGTTTATATGCGCTTTTCCCCCGAAATCGGTTCGTTCGCCTCGCAATCGCGTTTAGAAGCGACCGACCGACCGTACGCGTATATATACATGTACCTATATAGGTACGTGTATAATTTAATTTTTCCCTATGATTTAATAATTAACGGAAAACGCTTTTCACACGCCCCGTTAAATATATATATGGGAGATGCGCGTATTACAAGCGAATTATATGCGATTACATCGATAATCATCGAATATATCGGTTTACGTCGCTCCGTAGACGCACCACGCACGGCTTAAGTGTTGATGTTTTGACCGCACTTCTTATCTCAAATTGTGTCCAAGTAGGTTAGGCGTTAGGTAGATAACACGTAGGTCCCGGGTTCGAATCCGTCGTACGCTATTCGGGCGTCGTAACCGTCAATGCCATAAGGTTTACAAAACCTATTTAACCCTACTTTTTTTGCATTTTTTTTCACGTTATTTTTCATATAAATTAAATAATAATATAATAATACAGGAACATATCGTACATTATTATTATTTAAAGTCATTGTCATATTATATCACACAATAAATAGGTACATATTATATTTGTTTTGTTAGGAATTATTATAATTGCATATTTTTTCAAAAAGTCCATGATTGTTATATAAATATAGTTTGTATTTTATTTCGGACTAGCCGAACCCGTGCACCTCGTCGCCCATTAAAAAACCTACTCCATATGTATTTTACGGATTATAATAATCTCAAAACGTTAATTAACATAATCAAAAAGGGATTACCCATCATTTGTGCCCAGGTTCACGCTTGCCAACTACAGAAGGGCATTCTGATATACAATATTTCTCGTTTTACCATCTGGGGCGTACACATACAAATCTTCCGGTCTCCCGACGCGGGAGCAGGCAACATACAGCTGTCCATGGGAGAAGCATGGATTTTCCAAATTTAGGCCACACACTTGTAGTGATTGGCCCTGTGCCTTGTTGATGGTCATGGCAAAAGCGATTCGCACCGGAAACTGCAAACGTTTGAACGTGAAGGGCAAATCCGTAGGAATCATTGGGATTCGGGGCAACATTACATATTCGCCCATAAACTTTCCGTTTAAAATTGTAGCCTCGATAATGTTGTTCATCAATTTCGTTACCGAAAGCCTGGTACCATTACAGAGTCGTGGCGGATTGATGTTTCGTAGAAGAATGACGGGAACGCCAATTTTCAACGATAGAACGTGCGGTGGCATGCCCGGCAAATCAAGCGAATTTAAGAATTCAGGTGGATAATTGACTTCCTCGTCTTGACTCGTTACAGTGTCTATGGACTTGTAAGTTTTCAATTCGCCCGGTACCTTGTTTTGAATTCTGAAATTGATAGCATTCACATCGATGTTTTTGGCTGCCAATATGGCCCGGGCACCGAGCCACTGAAGATTTTTGTAATTTTGTGGCAGATTCGGGAAGACCTTTGCAATTAACTCATCTGCGGTAGCCGTGATCTTACAGAAATCGGCCGGCAATGTGATGCATTGTGTTGATTGATCGACGGTCATTAAGCCATTACCCATATCTAACAATTGTTTTGCGAACAAATCTGCCGATGCCTCATTCCGTAGTTGTACCCGCATATTAGTCTTCAAGCTCAATTTATGCACGTGCAGCCACAAACCTGAAGATTTGAGACATGCATTGAGTTCATCTGCTGGGGTTGAACGTGGTATTACCGGTAGAGTTTGCCGAAAATCACCGGACAGCAAAATGAGTGCACCACCGAATAATAGGCCAGGATTTCCTCTTAAATCTCTTAGGGTGCGATCAAGGGCTTCTAATGATTTTTTGTGCGCCATTGTACATTCGTCCCACACAATGATCGTACATGATCGGAGGATTTTCCCGATTCCTGAATTTTTAGTGATATTGCACGTTGGTCTCTCCGTGAATTGTACGTTCAACGGTAATTTCAGTGTTGAATGCGCGGTTCGCCCACCCTCCAGAAGAGTTGCTGCAATTCCTGAAGATGCCATAGCCAGTGCAGTATCGTTTTGGGAGCGTATCGCTGCCAAAATTATTGAGATTAGGAAAGTCTTGCCCGTGCCCCCGGGCGCATCCAGGAAATACAATCCTCCGCTTTTACTTTTGATTGCCTGCATAATTCTGTCGTACGCAATACATTGTTCAGTAACCAACTTTGGGAGATTCTTTTGAACAAATCTACCCATTTCGGCGTCGTCAAACTGTGGCTCACGTTGCAAATCTCGATTAAAATGGCCGTTGATGGATCGATTCGGCGAAGGCAGTCCAAGTTGAACCAGAGCTTTGTTAACGATTTCCAAACACATGTCCTCAATCTCAATTAATGCCTCATTATACACAATGGGGGAAAAACGAATGTCCGGAACTTGATTCGTAGTACGCAATCGATGTAAAAAGTCTTCGCTCATGTAGTCCCTGTATTTTTCCCAAAGGTCTTTTGGATTTGATGGGAAGCACGTTGTTAAGATTATCGCAAATAGAGAGCGTATTTGCCGTGGTCGAGCAATATTCGATGCATCAGCGAGTGAAATATCCCAATGGGCATCGTTTTCAAGAAGATGTAACTCTTGGCAAGCCGCATGATACGTGGCACAAACCCGCCCGTCCACCGTTCTCAATTCTTCGAAGGATGTCGGCCCACGTACATTGATTAACAGTAATCGCAAGTAAAAGCATTCCAAATTGTTTGGATGAACTGTGTATAAACGGCCTAACGCATCGGTCATATATAAACCTGAGTGCCCCTCCACTGCCTTGCCCTGTATGCGACGTTGAAACTTTTTCACGGAAGTATTCCATCTGTAATAAGTCGGCACCTCAGAATAAAGTAGCGTCTTTGCAAACGTATTTTGGTTGCACAATGAAAAAAATGCAGTTAACGTGGTCGGAGGTGGGGACATTGCTCTTGCACGTATATTGCCGGCCGTGAAGTACACACGCTGGACATTTTCAAGATGCACTGCCAAATGAACCACAGTTGGATGTCGATCATGGATTTGAAATGATAATATGCGCCAAATTGCCTCATTACTACTAATGTAGCGGCCGAGTTGATATTGATTTATTTCATCGATAGTTCTAGTTCTATTTTCCACACCAAACACTGCCATATCGCCCCCTTTGTTGACATATTTGCAAATGTATTTGATGGATTTCACAGAATTGCAATACTCAACATTGATGTGTGCCTTGAACGTCTTTGAGAGTAATGGTGAATACGGTACAACCCAACGATTATCAACTTCGACGTCAATATTACGTACTTTTAGAGTGATAGATTTGCCGCCATCCGTGGTTGATCGTCGACGATAGAGTGGATACCCGTCATTCCCGGTGATGGTCTCACTAACCAAAGCTCTCGGGTATCGCTTGGTGCATTTCCCATCAGACATGCATGGTGAGGAAGGGTTGAGTGCCCCACATGGACCATGAATCATGTTTTTTGTGACGACCTCTAATAAAACTGGGTCTCCGTCGCCATCGGGTAATTCTGCAGAAATAAGCTGATCAATTATATCCGGTGTTAATTTTGTGATCATCCAGATTAAAATGTGTGCATGGGGCAATCCCCGTTTTTGCCATTCGATGGAATACATCCAACAGCGTGTCTCTCCAAAAACCTGATGCTTAACAATGAAATCCATAAAAGATCTCAACTTCTGGTTGAACACTCGTGCGGTAATATCATGGCGATCCGAAGAAGATTGGCCAGGCAACAATAGTAATTTTATTTCGTCCCATGTAGGATTACATGTGAATGTAATGAACAGATCTGGACGGCCATAAGCGCGAACATATGTCATGGCGTCTTGCGCGTATTCATGCATGTGCCTTGGGCTCCCCGTGAATGTAGCCGGGAGAATGACCATTTTTCCCAAATCATTAGGATTCACGTTGCCATCAATAGCAATGGCATCACGTAAATGAATGTATTCTTCCGAACGCAGCGTGGTTTGATTCAACCGAATGTAGAGTAAACGCTCGGTTTCGATTTTGGCATACATATCGACAATATATTGATGAAACAATTGTCTACATTTCAAGATATGATTTTCGGCGCCTACCCGAATCATCAAGCGATACGAATAGTACTTCATGGCACTGACCTTCTTATTCGTTTCCTCCCCTGTTTGCGGATTTCTCAATTTAATGTTGAAATGATACCCGTCTTCGCCTTGCCAAAATAAAATCGGATATTGCAATCCGTCATATGAGCGATGAGTTTCCGCGACCCTTTGCAAGTTTCCATCCCTGCGATGTAGAATTATGTCACGGGAATTGAATTCATCTCCAACCATAATGATCGCCAACTCATCAATTGTAGGTGCATTGTATTGGCGCTCGTGTTGACCGAGGGGTGTTTTGTCTGCTCGTATTACAACCCTGTAATCATCGGCTGGCATTCGGTGAAGGGCAATTCTAAACAAACGGATCAATTCGTTGTGTTGATCGTATAGAGATTGTAATGCAGCGACAATTTCTCGTCTCGTGCCCGCATTGTGGGTACAACGTTGATCGATTTGGTCATCGCTATTCCCCATGAAATATATTTGGAGATATTTAGGTTCCATATCTGGCAGGGGTAATGATGATCCAGCCCGATGATAGATTTGACCTTGCACCTTAAAGGTTGGCATGTAATTATCCCTCACGACGTTCGTTGCCCCAAATGAAGTCATTTGGAAACACGATGTATCGACGGATATTTGTTAAAAAATGTTTCGATATGCTCGTATCGCCTGCCACCAACGTTGATAATGGTTCGGGTGGTGCATGTAGGGCTGGCAGTTTAACCTTACCACGAGCACAGCACATTCCAGGGGCTTCATTCTTAAACTTAAATGCTCCACAATAATTGCAGAGTACATCCATTATTCCGATGGCCACGCTTGGGTGGGTGCTGTAATTAATATCGGCATCATAGTGTAGTGCACAAAGGTTCAATTCGGTGGTTCGTCTGGATCGAGCACCCATTACTCGCATGGTCCCCAATCTTGCTTCTCGGTGCTCGTCTGTCTCAGATGAGCGGACCCGTGACTGACATTCTCGGTTTGTCCTCAACCTGGCTTCTCTTTGCTCGTCTGTCCCGGATGAGCGCGCCCTAGACTGACATTCTCGGTTTGTCCTCAACCTGGCTTCTCTTTGCTCGTCTGTCTCGGATGAGCGGGCCAGGGACTGACTTTCTCGGTTTGTCCTCAACCTGGCTTCTCTTTGCTCGTCAGTCTCGGATGAGCGGGCCCGGGACCGCCGTTCTCGGTCGGTACTCAACCTGGCTTCTCTTTGCTCGTCTGGCTCGGATAAGCGGGCCAGGGACTGACGTTCTCGGTTGGTCCTCAACCTGGCTTCTCTTTGCTCGTCTGTTTCCGCGGCTCGTGTTTCCCGCTTCTTGCGTGCTAGAACTGCGGGACTATTTATCGATCGTTTGTTGTTGGGCATAATAAATTAACTAATAATAGTAGAAATTCTTATAATAGTTGCAATTGAATTCAGTTATAAAAATGAATCGTTAGGCACTATAATAAATAACAAACGTGTTAAACCATTGGCAACCAATAACTATTATTATTATAGCTTTGAAACCCACGGTAACTATTTAAAAACTAAAAGGTCCATAAGTTTCAAAATATTATATAATTGATATGAAATCTTAGTAACCTTAGTAACCATGGCAACCTTGGTAACCATGGTAACATGGACACACAGACACACACACTGACATACATTCATTTTTATATATATAGATTGCCTACCTAGGTGGCTAAATTGAAAGTTAATCGATTTTGACTTGCTAGACACTCCAACACGGTTGTCGACTTTACACTTTTTACATAAGGAATGGCACCGGACATGCGAAGCCACATACCACTCTATGTGATATACCTACTATATATAGGTGATAGACGGATTGCTCATTGTAGTTTCGTCTTAAACGGTGATGATTGACTTGACAGACACTTTAATAGTTTAACATGCTGGTTTTTGCATTTTTTTTTTAAATTAATATATATACATTATAGGTAGTGTTTATATGTATTGTATTGGTTAATATAATAGTATGTATCTAACTATCTACCTATATGTTAATTTTTTTTAGGAATTATAATTGCTCATTTCTCAAAGTGTTCATTGTTGTTATATTATATCACACAATAAATACATATCATATTTGTTTGTATGTATATTGTACATAGTTTGAATTTTTCGTAAATTATTTCGTAAGTTGTGTGATAGGGTTTTCACTTATAGCCGCTTGACGTCGGGTCTGCAATCCACCGGTGGATTGCCTACCTGATTTTTTGTAGCACGTTGTCCGCGATCCGACGAAGTCGGATTGCCTACCTAAGTGGCTAACTTGAAAGTTAATAGATTTTGTCTTGAGATGACTGACTTGCTAGAAACTCCAACACGGTTTTCGACTTTACACTTTTTACATAAGATAAAGCACCGGTCATGCTACGGCACATATCACTCTATGTGCAGGTATACTCTATATAGTATATAGGTGATCCTGGAGATCGTTTCCAGCCTATCCATTTACAATGTTTGTGACGGATTGCTAGACCCTCAAACTTTTAACATTCCCGCCAAAGCGTCTAGCCTTATCTCCAATCCATATCACTAATCCTTATCACAAATTCTAAACTTTCGTCTTACAACATTTGCGACTTTTATAATTCATTGTCTCCAAAATCGGTACCCACTCCCAGTGAGTCCAACGAGCCCCGAGTTACACTTAGGGCCGTTCTTACAATGTCCGGTAAAGTGTCGGTTAACGCTAACCGGCTGATAACAGATTTTATTACCGGCAGAATTCTTCCGGTTAAGTGTCGGTTAACTTTAACCGGACGTCGTAAGAACGGCCCTTAGAGCTAGTTGTCATATAAAATTCGATGAACAAATATTGTTCCTTAATACGGAACTCTTTGATATATAAAAAAATGCATTATATTTTATCCGTGGATTCACCATATTGACGTACCTACCTTCTATAATATCTATCATTTATAGTCTATGGCAAATGTCAAAGTCGTTTCAGAAGACGCAGTCGATTAAAATTTCTAAAATTTCAATAAGCAAAGCAGATATGAGCAAAAAACTTACTGCGTTCCGTTTAATTTTATTTTTCATAAATCACAATATTTTAATACCTAGTTGTGTATTCTGGAGCGTTTCCTCGTCGGCCTCGCAGCTAAATAGCTAATGAACGTCACGGATTCCGCCGAAAGATTCGATGTTTCAGCGTAAGTTTGTTTTCATATTATTTTGGGATTTACGTTTACTTTTAGACCTAAAATAAATATTTATTGCCAAGGACAATCTGTTGACTGAGTGGCGTAGAAGCATAAATGTTTACTCCCCAAATCGAAATGTATATTATTATAATATCCTCGAGTCCCGCGAACAGTCCTAAGCCAAGCTTATTACTTACCTTATTTTTGCATATTGTACTACATATAATCCGGGAAACACCTTAGGTTTGCTCGAAGTATTTAAAACAATGTTAAATTATTAAACATTATATTTTATATACATTATACATTTATACACCTCATATATTTTATTTGTTTATTTACAATTTACACCTATTTTAGTGTCGTTATTATACCCCCTAGGTAATAAATATTTTGCAATTATATAGTTTACCATAATTATTATTCTTGATCCCTAATTATATAATATGATAATACACTATAAATTTGAATAATATAAATTTGTTGTTATCAAGATTCACAGTATTACGTACATAAGTCCTAGGTACTCTTTTTTGGACGTTTTCAAAACAGATTACGATTAAAAAAGTTACACAGTTGACGTACCATTTGCTAGAATCTAAAAGATAGATGAACCCGTATGACATAAATTAGGAATTATTCATGTTTTTTTTATTAGTTTTTTACTAAAACATATGCAATATACTAATAATCGTTATACATTTTATATACCTAGCTCATACAATTAATAAATATTCATAGTTCATTCATATGTGGATGTATATAGTATATACTTCATAAATATTTTACGATTTAAAACGTGTAATTAATTTAACTATGCAATCATGTATCAGTTTTAATGTATATAATATGTGATACGTGTAGGGTCGCCGGCATATTAAGTAATATGCCATAATAAGTATAATAATAAGTAATATAATAATAAGTATAATAAGTATAATCCACTGTATGAACTAAAAACGATAAACCACTAAGTAACTTTTGGCTTTGGCAAACATTTAAAATCGGAACTTGAGTAATATACTTATATAAGTGTGTGTGAATTAGACATTATTAAGTTTCTAAGGCTTTTCTGGGTGAATTAAAATCATCGACTGTAACGTCTCCAAATTCTTTATTTGTCTGTTCATTTTCTTCAAACTCATCGTTGTAATTTTCTGAAAATATAAAGTTGTAAAAAATATCTGAATACCTACCTAATTATTATTAAAATAATTCAATATTAAAAGATTTTACCTCTTAGAGGATTTACTAGTCGTGCTCAGAGTGGTACCAGTGTTGCTGTAAATTATTAAAATTTATTTTATATTATTTATTTTACTCCTCTAAACAGACATGAGGTTTGGATTATGTTTTGTGACAGCCTCTGGCCATAATAATATCAACTATATACTGAGCCTTGTTTATAATTACTGGTTGTGAAATGATTACCGCAGATTCTGCTCCAGATAGATATTGAGTAGGTAATCATTTAATTTGAAAATTTATTTCCTTCTATTTTCATTTTTTGTAAATCTATATTTGTGAACAAATTAGACTGGCACAATATTATTAAGAAATATAATCAGTACAACTAGAAAATAATACTAACAAATGAGAATTATGGTAATGTGGCGAAGCGATACTTTGGATGTCTCACTAAAAAGAATACACTTATGCATGGCAACTTTTTACTAAAACGTATGAATACAACACTGTACGAATGTATAGTAGTCGGTCTTTACTATTTCCGTTCTAATTTCAAATACCTAATCCAATGATTCAAATGATTTGTTGAATTTGATTTGTTCAATTAGTTGAAATAATAATATTTAAATAAATAATATTTTGATGAAATAATAGTTTTCTAAATAACAACAATCACAAAATAGAAATAATAAAAATAATAATAAATTAATTCATTAAAAAAAGTGTTAAATATTACACATGTATGCACTAAAAACAAGCAAAATATGATTTAAAATATAGAAAATATATAGGATACAGCTCAGTTTCTTCAGCAGTTGAAAACACTTTAGATATTGGTCCTAATGCCACTTTGTTCCCAGTGTCATAACTAGGATCTAAGTTCTTTTGTTTAATCTAAATAACATTTAATTTACATACATAGGTAGGTAAGTAGGTATACTAAATAAAATATAGATAAGTAAATAATATAGTAAGATTGTATCTAACCTTTCTTTCTAGAGTGCTTTTAGGTACATAAAATTCAATACAGGCATTACGAAATGTCATGCGTTTTTCAATTACTTCTTTCACAGCCTTCCTCATATTTTCTGAATCCAAATTTTCGCGTTTAGAAACTCTGACTCTTAAACAAGGCATTTCTAAAAATTAAATTATTTGAAAATTCATTAAAACACAAATAATAAATTGTAAAACTTGATTTAAAATAATAATAAATTTAAATATTATAGATATTATTTATGTTAATATAATATAATATCATAAATGTAGTTAGCTATATAATTTAAATGGCTTATATTTGTTCAAGAGCATGATTATTAAATAGAATAGAATAATTAAATTAAATGTATTAAATTATTATATTTGAAAAAATGAATTGAGATAAGATGGGACATGTCTTCATCTTGCCCCATTGCATTTTTGCCGTCTTACCTCAAACAGTAATAATTTAACTTAACGTTTCTATTAAACTTATAATAAGAATGAACTCTACCAAATTTGCATTAATCGAAAACTAATAATATTTTTTAAAAATTATATAGGAGTAATATTAAGAACAGACACGTGTGTGAAGTTGGGTGACCAAAGCTAGGTGACTATTTTTTTCGGGCGGCTAGTGATAAGAAACCTTGCACGTTGTGTTGCATTCTTTAAATTTCAAGGGTGCCTTCTATTGCATCGAAACTATAAAGTAGATGTCGCCCTATGACATTTAATAACTATTTATTTTAAAAGTATATAAATAAATAATAAATTCTATTGGTGTCATTACCACGATAATTATACCGAAACCATAACTATACCGAATTATACAAATCAATAATAATTTAAAGTAAGGTTATAAATTGCCCTAATTTCGAAGACATGTTCTAACAAATGAACATTGTACTTTTGCAGTTTACATTAACTAATTAAAAGTGTAAACTATTTAACGATGTCATTTGTTAGAGATCACATTCTACGGAAACAGGTAAGTTTACGTTATGTTAATTGTTTTTATTTAAATTAATTATGTAATATTCCGTTTACCTATCCACATACTGAATGGTAGTGTCTATGCAAAAGAAAAATAGGCAAAACTCTATGTATTTGATTTTTTTTGATTTTTCCGGCAGTGTTCCAGAAGGAGTCGAAGGACCTAACATAGATATTCGGAAAGCCAGGAAAATTTACTATCCGACGAGATAAATTTCAAGAGCTCCCTGGCTTTTTAAGTAACCGTACTTAGTGCACGAAAGTGCCAGGTGACTAATGCCGGTATGACGTGAAACGTATACGCGCGCGTGGTTTTTGATTTTTCCGGCAGTGTTCTTGAAGGAGTCGAAGGTCCTAACATAGATATTCGGAAAGCCAGGAAAATTTACTACCCGACGAGATAAATTCCAAGAACCACCGGGCTTTCTAAGTAACCATACTTAGTAAACGAAAGCGCCAGGTGACTAATGCCGGTATGACGCGAAACGTATACGCGCGCGTGGTTTTTGATTTTTCCGGCAGTGTTCCGGAAGGAGTCGAAGGACTTAACATAGATATTCGGAAAGCCAGGAAAATTTACTACCCGACGAGATAAATTCCAAGAACCACCGGGCTTTCTAAGTAACCGTACTTAGTAAACGAAAGCGTCAGGGGACTAATGCCGGTATGACGCGTAACGTAAAGGCGCGCGGGGTTTTTGATTTTTCCGGCAGTGTTCCGGAAGGAGTCGAAGGACTTAACATAGATATTCGGAAAGCCAGGAAAATTTACTACCCGACGAGATAAATTCCAAGAACCACCGGGCTTTCTAAGTAACCGTACTTAGTAAACGAAAGCGCCAGGTGACTAATGCCGGTATGACGCGAAACGTATACGCGCGCGTGGTTTTTGATTTTTCCGGCAGTGTTCCGGAAGGAGTCGAAGGACTTAACATAGATATTCGGAAAGCCAGGAAAATTTACTACCCGACGAGATAAATTCCAAGAACCACCGGGCTTTCTAAGTAACCGTACTTAGTAAACGAAAGCGCCAGGTGACTAATGCCGGTATGACGCGAAACGTATACGCGCGCGTGGTTTTTGATTTTTCCGGCAGTGTTCCGGAAGGAGTCGAAGGACTTAACATAGATATTCGGAAAGCCAGGAAAATTTACTACCCGACGAGATAAATTCCAAGAACCACCGGGCTTTCTAAGTAACCGTACTTAGTAAACGAAAGCGTCAGGGGACTAATGCCGGTATGACGCGTAACGTAAAGGCGCGCGGGGTTTTTGATTTTTCCCGAAGTGTTCCGGAAGGAGTCGAAGGACTTAACATAGATATTCGGAAAGCCAGGAAAATGTACTACCCGACGAGATAAATTCCAAGAACCACCGGGCTTTCTAAGTAACCGTACTTAGTAAACGAAAGCGCCAGGTGAATAATGCCGGTATGACGTGAAACGTAAACGCGCGCGCGGTTTTTGATTTTTCCGGCAGTGTTCCGGAAGGAGTCGAAGGACTTAACATAGATATTCGGAAAGCCAGGAAAATTTACTACCCGACGAGATAAATTCCAAGAACCACCGGGCTTTCTAAGTAACCGTACTTAGTAAACGAAAGCGCCAGGTGACTAATGCCGGTATGACACGAAACGTATACGCGCGCGCGGTTTTTGATTTTTCCCGAAGTGTTCCGGAAGGAGTCGAAGGTCCTAACATAGATATTCGGAAAGCCAGGAAAATTTACTACCCGACGAGATAAATTCCAAGAACCACCGGGCTTTCTAAGTAACCGTACTTAGTAAACGAAAGCGCCAGGTGACTAATGCCGGTATGACGCGAAACGTATACGCGCGTCTGGTGAACAATGCCGGTAGGGCACGAAACGTATACGCTGGCGTGGTTTTTGATTTTTCCGGCAGTGTTCCGGAAGGAGTCGAAGGTCCTAACATAGATATTCGGAAAGCCAGGAAAATTTACTATCCGACGAGATAAATTCCAAGAACCACCGGGCTTTCTAAGTAACCGTACTTAGTAAACGAAAGCGCCAGGTGACTAATGCCGGTATGACGCGAAACGTATACGCGCGCGTGGTTTTTGATTTTTCCGGCAGTGTTCCGGAAAGAGTCGAAGGACTTAACATAGATATTCGGAAAGCCAGGAAAATTTACTACCCGACGAGATAAATTCCAAGAACCACCGGGCTTTCTAAGTAACCGTACTTAGTAAACGAAAGCGCCAGGTGACTAATGCCGGTATGACGCGAAACGTATACGCGCGCGTGGTTTTTGATTTTTCCGGCAGTGTTCCGGAAGGAGTCGAAGGACTTAACATAGATATTCGGAAAGCCAGGAAAATTTACTACTCGACGAGATAAATTCCAAGAACCACCGGGCTTTCTAAGTAACCGTACTTAGTAAACGAAAGCGCCAGGTGACTAATGCCGGTATGACGCGAAACGTATACGCGCGCGTGGTTTTTGATTTTTCCTGCAGTGTTCCGGAAGGAGTCGAAGGTCCTAACATAGATATTCGGAAAGCCAGGAAAATGTACTACCCGACGAGTTAAATTCCAAGAACCATAACATAATTTATTATTATATAAGAGAACAGGCCTTTTTTATGTTCCAATTTTTTTGTTCACAGAGTTGTTCCAAATACCTTCCTGAGTGTCAGCACGTCACCCGATTTTCTTATTTTATCGGTTTGGTAGGTACCGAAAATGGTTGAAGAATACTGAGTTCATTTTTAATTCAAATATTTTGTAGATTTGTACATTGCCAGTATTTACAGCCTTTCCAGTTTGTTTTGTACATATTATTATTTATTATTTATTAATTAAAGACTCAAACATTTCATATCGTCATATAAATATGGTATATTTATTTAAAAAAAGAGTAATTTGGTGGTGTGCTTTGCCCCCCCGCGCCTCTATTTTCTGAAATTAACTGGACCCTCCCCATGACAAATTCCTAAATACGCCACTGGGGAGATTTAAATTAGCTTTAAAAATATTAAAATATGTAAACAATTATGACGGCGTACACTGTACAGTGACTACGGAGAGGCGGCATTGCATATTATATTATAATTGTCGTGAATCCACTTTCAATGGCGCGTATGATACGCGGATTTTTCTCCCCAGCCACTCGCCGATAACATTATGATTGAAATTACTGTCGGGCGGCAGTTTCACTAAATCCGTCGACCGTCGACCGAATTACTAAAATAATATTGACATCGACATACCGACGATATTAATATACGATAACACGATGTTACAATATAATATAATAATATTTTCAATAACTTCTATACATTTTTATTTTTAGATAATTATAATTTACAAATATCTAGCGGTATCGGACTCTCCTGTGACGAGCCGCCCCGGGTATTATTGGCACAAAACGGCACAACGTCAACCAACACAATAGCAGTGTTTATTTACATATTATAATAATATACGAATTATTGTACAAAAATACTTTGTGAAACATTTACAATGACGTTGGACCCGAGCGGTCGGTTTTCCACGAAACTAGTAACCAACAAACAATAGGAACATTGGGTGGGTTGGCGTGTGGTGTAGTCTGTTCAATTTTGCGCCGGGCCTGCGCCGGGCCTAACCTAACCTAACCTAACCTGCGTAGTATATTATAGTATATTATATAATATTATACTATCATGAATTTAAAAAGTATATATCGTCCCCGTTCATGCAAAACACACTAAGTCCAAAAACATGATTTTTGAGTATGAGCTTTTGCAATTTTTCCAAATTATAATTCCATATTCTGCGTATTAAGGAAAACATCGAATGGACTTAGTTAACATTTTGAATTGTATATTAAACATCTTTAAATAATATTGGGAGGGACTTAGTTGAATACAGCATATTGTAGATATTTTTAAACTGAATTCTTATATGACAATAAACCGGAAAACCCGATTTTTGGACTTAGTGTGTTTTGCATGAACGGGGACGATATTATACTTATTATAGTATATAAGTATATTATATTTATATAATATATAATATATTTATGTATAGTCAATAGTATATATAGTATTACTAGAGTACTGAGGAACCAGAAGGGAGGATTGTTTCTAGAATTAAAAGGTGGTACCTACTCTAAAGTAAATTTTTTGCAAGAACTTAAGGTATATTAATGGCCCAAAAATTAA